TGTTTCCTTAACAAATCAGACACAGCAAGTTTCCAAACAAGTATTTTAATATTCAAGCCAAATATTAATAATCGCATCCACACTGTTTCCTGATGCATTTGATATGACAATAACTTAAATGTAATAAACAGAATATCATTTTAACTCATCTTAAACATTTAACTATGATCTGTGTGGAAATGCAATTAAACAAAATACAAACTGCTTTTAACAGAAATTAATTGAGTGATTTGAGCCTAAATGTATGAGGTGGAGTAATGTGCATGACTTACCATTTCTTGCTGGGCAAGGCGTGGTTCTGGCCCGAGGTGGATTCTGCCATAGCTATAAAAACACAAAAGGAAAAATAAGGACATAAGCAGCTCCTCTTGACTATGAAATGTTTTTGAAGCATTCTAAGGACTTCAGGAGATAAAAGATGTATCAATCATCCATTTAAACTTCATTTACCATATACAGTAATAAAACAAGACTTTATGACTAAATCTGAACAAATGATACATGTACATGTGAAGACACACACACACACAAAAACACTGAAAGAGGAAGAGCTTCTGTCTATGTACACATGCAAAGCACAAAACTGTAAAATGTGGTGCTCAAAAGTCCTGCAAGTGTGTGACCTCAGTGTCACACACTTGCAGATTTATGAAGACAAGGGCATACTGCAAGACACATGGGTGGGCCTTGGCAGGCTATAGCAACATGAGGACAGGATGACGACATCACAAAGGCAGACTCAGAAAATAAGGTTTATTGCCAGGTAAGTTTTCACTTACAAGATATTTGGCTTGGTGTAGTATCCAATTAATGTATTCAGAGGAAATAAAATTAATAAAAAAGAAAAAAAGTAAAATACTGCAACAGTCAAACATAAATATACAATCGATACATATTAAAGAAAAAAAATAATTAAACAATCCTACAAAACTATGTACAAAAGTGTTTTAGAATGACAAAACTCCTGCTGGGCAAGATGTGCAAAAGATCACAGTAAGACAATATCCGTATCGTGCAGGGATAATACCTCAAGGGTGTTGATGTGGGGTTTGATTGATGAGAGCCGACATGCAAAGAAAAGGCTGGTGCTTGGTCCATCATTGGTGATTAGATTGGACTCTCTGGTCGCCTGATACAGACAAAACATGCGCGATAAGACAATTCCTTTTAGAATCATACAAGTTCTTTATAGATCAAACATGTTAGACTTGTTGTGTGTGTATATTCAATTGTGAAGATAGATATGAATATGGCAAAAATACAGTATGAATATTATGAAATTTGAATGCAAGAGGAAATGAAGAGTAAACAACTAGAGGTATGATAAGAATTCATTGTAAACACACTATAATAGACCAGCAATGCAGCAATCAAATATGGATAATATGGTAAAGAATCAGCAGTATGAAACAGATGTCACACTGCGGGTCTGATTTAATCACAGTGGTAACATCAACGTCTTACTTTTAACAAGTGAATGATAGCATGTTACTCACTAGACCCTCCTCACTGTCTGCGACTGCTCCTGCGTTGGTGAGACAGGTGGAGGCGGATAATTGCATCTGTACGGTGCAGGTCCCGATAAAGACAGAGGAGATGCTGAAATTCCTGGAAATGTAAGATCTAAGTTTCACTTCATCAGTATGGCTGATCTCCTAACAGTAATTGTAAAGAGGTTACACATGAGGTGAACGATCGAACACGTGTATATCATCGGTTATGGGGTCACTACAATCTCAAGTTAACAGTATCAGTTATGAGCTAAGACTGAGCGTCTGGTGTACGCGAGAGCAACACCATGTAACGCTAGTTGGACCATACGACTGAAATGTTTGTCGGTAAGCGGTTTGTGTGTCCGTTGCAGCTGATTTACTTTTAGCTGTAAAGAGGCCAAACCTTGCTGCTACTACGACGGGCTATGACAGGAAAGTTTGTGAGCTCGGCATCAAACCGCATCGTTTGTCTTCGGGAGGAGCCGATCTCCAGCGGGTGGAGAAGCCACACCGAGATTTACTCGTGTTGCTTCTTTTCTTTGCCGTTGAACGTGGTTTCTTGTCGGGAGCGGTCCTGCGGGATACAGATGAATATTACCTTTTAGGAGGTTCAGCCATTCCTGCGTTTCTGTGATGCTATCTTCAAGCTCTGCCGGAAGTTGTTCTTCTTCGTGGGACTGAGGGCAGACTTGACGCGCCACTGACTCACACAGCATCTAGTGTCACAAATAGGTATTACAACACAGGACAGGTCGGGGCTGGCTGGTTACCATGCTCATTTCAGTGGATATCTGAAAAAGAACAGATGGAGGTCTTGATCATGACATCACTGTGGCTGCTTCACACAGTTGATAGTGTTTTGTTTTTTTTTGTTTTTTGTATTAAACATTTTAAACTAAAGTTCTGGCCACATCTTATATTGCACCTTTTCAGCAAAACCACCAAAGCTGACATTTAAAAGTAAAGCTACATGTTCTTTGCCCACATTGCAAATGAACTTGCAGTTTTGACACTTAGATTAAAACAAAGACATTGAGCTTAACTTGACTGATATTGACACATTTGATGCATACAAAACATTTTTATTTGCTTTGACAGTATATAAATCTATGCTTGGATTATAAAATACAATCATGCGTTCCCTTATACTTACATTCAGTTTGTGACGTACAAACGTTTGTATTTGCCCATTTTGCATTCAGGCCAGTAGATGTTGCACTGTTCACATGAAGCATCAAGATATAAACCCTTTGTGGAACCACTTTGCTGAGAAAGTAAAACTTCTGACGCTGTGGGACTCACATCCAGTACCAGGCAGTTGATTTCTGCAAGCAAAGAAGATACAACAGCCTGGGAAATTTTACTCACTGAGTATTTCACTTACTGACTGGACTGCTCACAGAGCCAGGTGTCAGTTCACTTCAGCCATGTTGGTTTCTCCGTATATCGCAGTCATGGGGCTGTATTCCAGTCACCGCATGTTGGCAGTCTTTATGTTACGACCCAGCTAGGGGAAAAGGGAAGCAACATAAAACCAGGTGTTATTGTTAAATCAAATTTACTGATTTAATTTATTGCGTAACCAGGAGGGTAAATAAGTAAACAAAAATACAAACAAGGCAAGAAGACAACTGAAGTAGGAGAACAGGAGCCAACAAAGAGCCTAACTGTGCAATTCTAACAAACCCAAAAAAACACAAGAAGCAGCACCCCTGTTCCTAATGTGTCCAACAATCTTTCTCTAAGGGTGTGATGCACAAGCAGAATTTTAAACCCAGCCCAGTCCCCAACAATCACAACCAGCATCTAAGACCAAATCACAAATTACACACAAATGCTCACAAAGGTGGTAAAGAGGCGAGCTGCCTATCATGTCAGCCGCCACTAATGATGTGCTGGCCGGGCTTTTAAACTCTCTTCCTCTGATGCTCAAACGGCGGCAGCTGTGGTGAGGGCTGCTGGGTCATTGCTGCACCAATAGGAGAAGCCGTGGAGTCGGAGGCTCCTCCTCTTTGCTCCGACCAATCCCCTCACGGAGTCCACGCAGCATACAGACGACTGCGCTGCGTCCAGTTTAACCTATTTTTATATCATGCAGAAACTTGAACAAGAAAGAGCAGAACTGATGTCACAAGATTTCTTCAGTAGAGGATAAAATTAAAAGTACTATAAAATTCGTAGAGAACTTCTGAATGTGCCTGCTGCTTGGTACCTTATAGGCTTCCACTATATACCCCTTATAGAGACGATAGCTTCTAAGATCTGACTTTATCACCTACCTTACCTCCCCAATAGAAAATTGACTCCACACTGGATCCGTCCTGGAGGTATCATGGGCTCCGGAACGGATCGAAAAAACAGGACCGGATCGGAGCCCACTTGCACGGCGGGACGACTCCAGAACGGATCAGGATTACGGATCCAGACCACATCCGTATCCGCTCATCAAGCAGCTCATTCGGCTCGGATCCGATTTGGACCCGTTCTTAAAGTGGTTAATTCGGTCCAGACCCGTTCTGGATCCCTTATTCAAAATGGCTCATCCGGCTAGAACTAGCTGTAGAAATCTAAAATCAAGCTGACCAACACCTGGATTGCTCTATAAAAGCTTTAATACTGAACCGGTCTGCCTTTATTAATATTAATAAAACATTACTCATTGAACACTAAAAAAAATCTAAACCTTTTAGCCACCCAGCAATTCTACAGTTAAATGCTTTCACTGTGAAGCAGCAGAAGTAGGGAAATTGTGTTTGTGTTGTAGTAACTTAATACAGCTTCTTCATGGGTGTAAGAGTTATCAGAACATTTCAAACTGTTGCACTGAGGAACATAAATGCAGTTTCCTGTAAGTCCCTCACACAGTTATTACCCAAAGATGGACTCTGCTAGTAACAATGAAATCCTCTATTAAAAATCATCTTGGGTAAGGATGCTGACAGTGTCATGGTTTCTTCAGCTTCCTCTGTCTGCTGCCAGGTTGAACCACCTCATAGCATCCCGCAGGATGTCGTCATCATCAGTGGCGGCGCGGGAGACATGACTCTTTCTCACTGCATCTATAATCACACAAGCCTTTAAACACAAAGTCTGCTGTCTCACATTTAAACAGGAGACCATTACCTATGAGTATAACTGTGATTTTCACCATTACAATTCACAATCAACAGTCTGTCCACGGTCTCTCTCTCTCTCTCTCTCCTCCCCCACCCCCTTTCTCATTTCAAACCCAACCGGTTGAGGCAGATGTGCGCCCCCCTGAGTCCAGCTCTGTTGGAGGTTTCTTCCTGTTAAAAGGGAGTTTTTCCTCACCTATGTCACCAAGTGCTGCTCTTTGCGCACATTTGTCACAACCATTATTTCTTATTTTTTAAAAATGATTTCAGTATTTTGACATTTTAACATTTGTTTTAATTCCATTACTCTGTGCTGTAACATTTCTTTCAAATTTATTTGTTCCAGAGATTTTTTGAGTTTGTCCTCAGAATAAAACAGTTACAGCCTATAAAAACTTTATAGTGGAGTTTATTACAAGAATAAAAGAAACAGCATCCATTAAACCAAATGTGACAAAACTTTATTTCGAGTGCAATTATAGACAGATTTCACATGGACAGAATCTCTCTAAAAAATAAAATAAATTCAAGCCCCTCTTCCAGCCTAAAACCTTTTAGCAATGATTCAAAATCTAACCCCGGAGAAACATTTCATCTGAAAGCTACCAGCAACATAAACTGTTTCTCACAAACCACCAGAGAAAAAAAAGAAAAGAAAAAAAAAAAAAGCACAACAAACTATTGAAAACTGAAGAAAATAAACTGTCTGACTGACGTTTTCAGGCATTTTTACTCCTCGGATTCTGATTTATTCCACAGTGACCAGGCCGAGGATTCAGCGGCTCAGGTCTCAGTGTTCTTGGATTTTGCGCAGTCTGAGGACGTAAAGTCAGCTTTCTACGACAGTTTGTGATTTGTGTGTTTTTGTTGTTCTACACCTGAAGCGGGTAAAACCTCGAGGTAAAGATCATCCAACCAGTTACAGGAGCTGGCGGTGAAGCAGTGCTGAGGCGGTTTTCAGATTTTTCTTCACCAGACGTGCGGCTTTGACAATTTGGCTTTTAAATCAGTAAAACGAACAGGGAAACTGTCGGAACAGTGTTGTGTTCGAGTGCCGACTGATTCACCTTTCATACAGGAGACACAGCATCAAGACTCTCCTTTAACACAGTCAACTGAAAATGATACAAACAAATGAGGCGTCTCTGGACTGTGTTGGATGCAACGAGAAAAAACTATCAAGCAAATTCTTTTATCTGATGCCAAATGTCAAATACCAGGAAATTCAGAATATTCTTCCGTCACCACCTCCACCCGCAGACCGACACCGAGCCAGAGTCAGATCAACAGACACTTACATTCAGTTTGGACACTTGGAAAAATGCAGCTTCACTAAAACGCACACGGCAACAAACAGAAAACTGTCTCTTTTGGTAGAATTTCACTGAGCCAGGCAGAAATAAGAAGATAAAACAGGCTCAGCGGAAAAGAGCCGAAAGCAGCGTTGCCACATTTACCAAAATGTTTCTTCAAACTTTGCCTCAGTACCACTGGAACCGATCCTTCACCTGTATTTTCACTAAACTCTGTGCTCTGGGAACCTCACTTCAGCATCAGAAGTCACTGTAAAAAACTTCATTTTAAATCTGAGCTTCTCACAGATTCTCAGCGTGGCTCGTGAAAGAGCTGGAATATTAAAACATGGATTCCAGTCGGTACAGACTGGTTCCTGAAAGATCAGGTGAAGCTTGGTGACATCACAGGTCAAAGTAAAACCTGGTGTTGTTCAGTCCTTCTTCATGTAATGAAGAACGTTGGTACTGAAGCCAAAACTCTGATAATGTGACAAAACAAGTCGCGAGCCGAACAGAGTGGCTGACAACCCCGACGTGATTAAAAGCTGTGACGTACTGGCTTTAACTGCACGTCGGCTGCACTTCCCGTCCTCCCTGAGGACGAGGTGGTCGCGCATGTCCTCAGATATTTACCCCAAATGAATCCCATGAAGGGTGGGGGCAGTTCATCGGGGCAGCAGCAGACTGAGCAAACAAAAACAGCACTGGAGGAAAGAGAAAGAGAAACTACTGAAGTGCTCATCTCAGTATCAACAGTATTGAGGGTGTAGCTAGTGATTATTTCCATAATTGATTAATCTGCCATTTTTTTTCAATTTATCAATTACTTTCTGCATTTCAGAAAAAAAGGACCAACAACACAAAGTTACGTCATTAGTTTTTTCATAACTTACTAACAATGTGAGAGCAAGAAAAACATCAAACCCTCATATCTGAGGAGCTTTAACCAACAAATATTTGGCATTTGAGCTTGAAAAATAATCCTTCGTATAAACACTAAAAGCCTCTTGCACCGAGTATGTTATTAAAATAGAGAATGAGATTTTGGCAGTAGCAATTAATGATCACTGATTAAATTTCACCCTGTTTTATTTTAGTTTTGCTGCAGCTGAAAATCAGCTGATCGGATGATAGAGGGGATTCAGAAAATACATCACTGAACTGTTTCACAAATGAATCCAGATTATGATTTCAGTTGTCACTCAGAGGTCGAGGAGCAAACGAACAGCTTCAAACTGAAGTTCATGTAAACCTGACTTTTATTTCTGAACATCTCTAGTGGCCAGTAACACGTCAAGTACTCACACCGAGTAACAAGAAAGAAAAAGGGCAAATGAATAATAAAAAACATGACTAACTGCCTGGTAGACGTGGACTGGTTTAGTTACTTTGTCCTGGTCCTGCTGGACTCAACAGGAGAACCAGAGACTAAACCTAGTCCAGATCGAAAAGGTAAAACCAGATTCCTGCTCCTGAAACAAATCAGCCTGTGTAATAAATAGATTCACACTCCCCCTGATAGTCTACTGCAAATGTGAGGGGCTCATTACAAACAGGGCGGGCGAGGAAACAGTCAGAACATTAACAATGAGAATAATATTAATAATAAAGATGTTTTCAAGCCGAATCGTGCAGTTGGATTTGTCTGCGTCCCCGTCTCCTCAGCAGTTTTCTCTCTGACGGCAGCGACCGCCGCTCAGTACTGCATCAATCAGTAGAGACCACACACACACACACTCTCTCTCTCTCTCTCTCTCTCTCACACACACACACACACACACTCAGACTCTCCTCCAGGAGAAAAGTTACACCAGCTTCTTGGCCTCGAAGAAGCTCTTGAGGTGTCTCATCTGCCAGATGCCGATGGCCACCAGGATGAGGGTCTGGACGATGGACCACCACAGGACCCGCTGGTTGGTGCTCTCACTGGTCTGACGGAAACGCTCCTCACGGTACTGAGAGAGGACACAGACTGTTTCACTCGACTGACAACCACTTTCCAAAGCTGCCTGTTTGTTATCTGATGTTATTAAATCAGCCACTGAAAAAAACAAGCAGAGACTAAACTTGTACAGCGAGTATTTGGCTGCCGTTTTTAGAGCACAGTTATATTAGAATTATACATTAATTTAAAAATAAAAGCAAAAATAATATGTAAAAGCCTTATGGTCCTTTATTTACCTTTATTCAAGAGCATTATTTCTTCATTCACCTTCAGACTCTGTAACGCTTTCTTGCTGCTTGTGTGCAAATTTGCTCTGTTCCTGCTCAAATGTCCTGTGCATCAGTCTGAGTCCTCCTCACACTCAGGCTGCTTCTGTGCGCTCCTGAAACTTCTGCTCTCAGATTTCGGATCTTGGATTTTTGTGAAATAACCCGGTCAAAATTCCCAGACCAGATATGATGTTGACCAATTAAATCATCACTGCCTCACTGTGGGAGCGTTCACTCGCTGTCGACTCCAAGTTCATTCATGTAGTGTGAAAAAAATAACTAGCAAATTTCGTGATTTGTGTTAATCAAATTGACCAATGAGCCTCATGTCAAACTAGATGCAGGAGTTCTGTGCTCACTGGTCTGACCGTTGCCAAGATACAACGTCACTTCTCATTATCCACAGGAAGAGATTGTTTTACAGCTTTTGCATTTTGTGGACAATCAATATAATTCTAATACCTTTTTATCACGAGGGTCTTTAGATGCTTCATGCAACAATTCAGGCAGATTGGACCAAGATGAGTTCAAAAAATAACACCATCCAGAGCCAATGTGCACCAAACTTTATACAGAACCTCAGTGTGGCGTGGTAAGTTTTGGGTTAAAGAGATGACATCACTTCCTTTGTACAAATACACATTTTTCCTTTATAACTTTAGTATCTGTTTAAGTATCAATACTCTTTTCATATCTTGTGATCATGAGAGGACAAAGATGATACATGGAAGGTTTCATGCAGATCGCACTTACAGCCTAAGAGTAGTTTAAAAAATAATTCTTAATGACTCTTGACCTTGGAACAAAAGTGTCACCTAGTGGCCGATTGGCACCAAAGCCTCAAAGGAGGATGGGAAATTACTGAGCAGAGTTTCATGTTAATAGGAGGATTGTTGCCAAGATATGCAACAATTATAGGAAGTTGTTCCTTGATAACTTAAACATTTTATGGATTATCAAAATTCTTTTAATAACCGCTGACCAGGAGAGTCCATAGATTATATGTGTAAAGTTTTGTGCAGCTCAGTCTCACAGTCTAGGAGGACCTCAAAAAAGTAAGTTTCACATATTCCACAATTCTATGATCCAGCTAGATTCAGGGAAGGTAAAGTTCTGAATGAGTTACAGGCCAAAACGTTCTTACCTTGATTATCAACCTGCTGGTGGACATTTTTTTGTGTCTCACATTCTTTACCTCCCCTGAAAATATCACTTGCATAACTTTTGCGCTGTAGGCTGCAGCACCACTTTTACCAACGGAAGAATAAAAATATAAAAATAAAAGAGATAAAATTCCTCTGAACCCTAATAACATCAACAGACAGTAACATGGAAAAACACTGACTGACCCTCTGGTAGTTCTGCTCCTTCTGGATCTGGTCCACCTGCTCCACCAGCTGTCGGACTCTCAGCTGCAGCTCCGTCAGTTTGTCTTTGGCAGCGATCTCAGCGTAGTTGTTAGCGTGTTCGCCCACCTGGATGTCCAGGTGAACCCTCTGCAACACAACACCGTCAGCAGTAAGTCATGGAGTCCTACCATATAATTATCTTAATGTTACGATCACAAAACTCCAACAACACCCAACAGTTAAATGACTGAAATAACATTTAAAGTCAATGGAAAAGTGCAAATGGAGTCAAACAAAGGCAAACAGGCTTCGGGCAAATTGAGCTGCAGTTCAACATGTTTGAACGTGAACACGTAATTTATATAAAACAAAGTCATATTGTCAGTCCAGGCACTTTGAGCCGACAGAGCAGCACAGACTCTTCACTCTGAGCAGTTTAAAGGTCTAATTTAACTACAGACTACACTGTGTCTCCTCACCAGCATGCCTCCAGCGAAGAGGGAGAACTTGGATGAGTTGGAGTGCAGACAGATCTGGTGTTCTCCAGGTGTGTGTGATGTGAAGGTGAATCTTCCCTCTGAGCCGTACTGACGAGACAGAATAACCTGCAGGAAACACACAAACCAGTTAAAACCTGCTGACGTTACCGGCCGAAGGTGATTACTTGGTGCACAGGTACTTCTCCTGATGTCCTTCTTTAATCGTTCAGCTCACCTTGTCATCAGGATCTTTGACCTCCACAAACATGCCCAGACCCTGAGTGGCCGGCAGGTACTCCTCCCTCTGTTTATCATACAGCTGAGTCCGATAGTTGCCTGCAGAGACAGATATGGGGAGAGGTGTCATGAATAAAACCTTTTCATTTGTAAGTGTACTAATCAGTAATCATCTCATGGTCTTTGTGGGTAGCACGATGACACCAGAGCCTCTCTCTGATGAAGTCTGTGAGATGTGGATAGAAGGTCTAAAAATAGAGATTGAAGTAATTTACAACTAACTGAGAAAATCATCTGTATATTAATACATAATGATTTGAATCTTCGAAACAGTTGCCGAACATCCACAAGAAGCGATAGTCAATCCACTTCCTGTCTATGCTGAATGAAGCGGGGCTTCCCTCACACTGGCCTCCTCTGATTCATACCAGTGGTTCTGTATTTGCACAAGCAGGTGAGCTGTTAAAGTGAAGGTCAAGTACACTAACACTTCATATTTGACCAGAAGACTCAGGATTCTTCACATCCTGAAACATTTTTAAATTTTAGTGTTGCGTGTATTTATGAGTTTCTGAAATGGTTGTTAAGTAGTACGTTATTCGTCACTACTGATTAATCTGATGATTATTTTCTCCATTAATCTTTCATCAAAACCTAGGTTGACGCCTTGAAATGTTTTGTTTGGTCCAACCAACCGTCCAAAACCCAAAGATATTCAAGTTACAACAATATAGAGGAGGAAAAAAAGCATAAAATCTACACAAATTAAAAACTGGAACCAGGTGATTGTTGGAATATTTGCTTTAAAAATGACTTCACAAATCAAAACTAATCATAAATAATATAATTATTGATGCATTCATGTAAACATCACTTCGGTGTTACAGCTGGTCAAGGTGGCACCAAATGTAATAATTTTTCTATATTGCTGGGTAGTTTGTGAATTTCTCTCCTAGGATCAATAACATCTCATCTTTATCCATATACATACAGAACTTATAACTTGACATGTTTTATATTATTGAACAGAATCTGCAAAGCAAGTAAAGGTATTAAATAAATGTAGTGGAGTAAATAGTATAAATACTTGTGCCTAAGATATAATGCAATAAAAGAGACTAACATTTATTTTAATGAGTGGTTAATGTGCTGATGATTTAATAAATCAGTTGTTTAATCAATAAAACGTCAGAAAGAGGGAAAAATTACCATCACAGTCACCTAGACCACAAGGAAAAATCGGTTTTCACATGTCTTTTTCTCTGATCAATGATCAAAATGTCCAAAACATTAAGTTTACAATGATATGAAACAACAGAAAAGCCTTATATTGAAGGAGCGGGAACAAGCATTTTTTAAAGTTATTTCAGCTTTATACGCGACTCACAACGATTACTCCTATAGAAAAACTGCCAATTACTTTTCTGTCATTCAACTAATCAATTAACTGAGACTATGGCTTTAATAGTAGAATACTCAAGTTAAGTACACGTACCTTGAAACTGTAGTAAAGTACACTACTTGCGGAAATTTAATTAGTTACTTAGGTTACATTAACGTGACTTTAGTTCAGAGGGGGATTCGAAAGAATGAATAATTCGATTTTTAACTAAAACTACGGTATTGAGACAAGTGTTGCTGCAATATTAAACTCATTAAACACAAAATTAATGTGTTTAAACAGTTTGTGACTGCTGGATGTGTGTGTTTATTAAGCTGTAGATATAAATAAAAGCAGGACATGTCACTTTATGGGGACACAAACTGACTTTAGCTCAGTTAGCCGATTAGCTAAAGTTCGTGAGCTAGCAGCTAGCATTAGCCGGAGACCCCCCTCTAACAGCTGACACTCACCGATGATCATCGTCTCGTCCGGGATTTCCTCTATGAAACATTTTTTCTCCGTCTCTCCGATGTGAAAGTACAGAGAGGAGACGAAGCTGTAGAATACGTTGAGGAGTAAAACCGACAACACACACGGCTGCATCCTAACAGACACCATCTTCACACCGGGAGGAAACACTACTGAGACTGCGCGGACACAGCAATGCCACGTAAACCATCGTTAGAGTGCCGCCAATCAGCGCGCCGCGGGAGACTGCTGGGAATTGTAGTTGTAACATGTGTTATCGTGTACGGGCCATGTACGTATGGTAGGGGCAGCAGCGAGTAAACTCCGCTGCGGTTTAATCCAACAGTGAAGAAGAAACACTTCCTGCAAGCGGTTTCCATGGCAATCAGACATGGCGCCTGGTGAGAAACATTCTTTGTGCTTAACAAATAGATAAGTAAATAAATAAACCTCTCGGTACACAACGTTACCGCCGTGTATATTAGCGTTATTAACATTTAACAATATGAAGTTTATACGCGTAACAGAACGCTCTTCGTTTAAGTTAGCCGTTAGCTAATAACTAAATCCGTTCATTTCGGTAAATGTTAATATAGTAAGAGATATAACGTTACTGCTGGTACTACTACTGCTAATACTGTTACTACTAATATTACTACTGTTTCTACTGCTACTCCTGATACTACTACTGTTACTTCGACCTCTTTTACCGAACACGAAGACTTGTTTTAAAGAATTACACATGTTCAAAGACCAAGGAGAAAGAAGCAAGTCAAGATTTTCAAGATCAGCACACTATCTGTCAGTCTACGTCTAACAGCTGTATTATCTCTTTTCCTCCGCAGGAAACCAACCGATCGTATCCTTCTCGTGAAGCTGGTGCAGAGCTGCAGCACACAGCTAATTTCTGTGTCCTTCTCTCTGTGTGTCTTTTCTCCTTGACACTGTCATCCTCAGCTTTCATCCACTCCCCTGCAGGTTCTCCTCTACCTGAACAGCTGGTACTTTGGCGCTTTCTACCTGGCAGAGATTCTCATGTTCATCTACAAAGGTAAACTGTAAACGGCTGTACTGCCTTCACTGAACGGACTTAACTGTATTTTAATGATACAAGACATTGATTCCTGATTTATTTATTTATTTATTGCCAGAGCTTTTTGATTAGTAGTGTGGGGAGAGCACATCCTTTCCTTTCTGTACCTACCTTTAGTTTCTGTAAAGGATTTTTAGCATTAAAAGTGAGGAATCACATACTTTCTTCACCCCTTACTGGTTCTTTACTTAATTTTTTTCTCTCTATCTAAAGGTATTAGAGAGGTGCAGGAGAGTTTACTTCAGTTGGAGGCTCAGCAGCGGGATTTTTGTGCTTTACTGGTGTACTGGTGCAGATCATTATGTAAAACATGACTGACTGAAATCTCTTATTAAACCTGAATAAAGTTCTTGTTGGTACCTGCTAAATCAGAACAGTTTGTAAGTACTGGTGTCTGTAATACACATTTTCAAGCATTAGTGAAGATTTTTAGTTTTTATTAATTTATTCAGTAAATCAACAAGAGGCACGTGTAAAAACAAAGTGCATAAGACGTACTGAGAGTACATTCATACAAATCTTTGGTACATTAGAGGCAGGGCTTAAGTAACTGGGTGGTTTACAGCAGCAACATAATTTATGAACATTTAATTCCCTCAAAATAAAACTCAAAGAAAAACAAAAGTACAGGCAGCTGAAAAAGGTCAAAGGTCTCAGTTTTAGTGTCTTAAGGAGAGGGAGATGATCATGTGACAAATTATCAACAAATCATTTCAAAGCTCAATTTAAAGTCAGAATGAAATTAAAACTTTGTAACTTCATTTTCCACATCCTTCTCATTCATAAAATACATATTAAATATAAAACCTTTGGATGCCTTAATGCACAGATGGCTGCACTTTGTATTTGTATGTTTGTGCAGGGGTTTCACTCCCGTACCCGTCAGATAATCTGGTCCTGGATGTGGTGCTGCTGGTGATCTTCCTCGGTCTGGAGACCCTCAGGATCTTTTACGGTGAGCAAGACATGAGCGTTGGATGTGGATGAACATTATTAGCAATGATCTTTGTGTTTGAGGTCAGAGGCCAGGTTGTGTTTGGTTATTCAGGTTCTTTGGTGCCACCTGGTGGACAGCAGCTGCTGCTTCAACCTTCAATCCTAAACCCTGTAGATATTCATCTTACTCTCATGTATGATGAAAAAAAGCATCAAATTCTTTCGTTTGAGAAGCTGGAACCAGAATTCTTTTGGCACCTTTATTTTAAAAAATAGATAAAACAATTCTTGAATTGAAATAGTTGCTGATTAACTTTTTGACGATTGTCTAATCGTTGCAGCTCTTGTCTCAACTCTTTTTCTATTCTATTCTATTCTACTGTGAAGTTTTAGGTTAAATTTCAGTTGAGCAAACTGCAGCAGTGCTAGAAGTGGTCCGATAGTCACCTGTGACCAGCTGAGTACTACTTATTACCAAGCACTGCCACTCTCTAACCAATGTTAGTACTCATGATGAACAGTAGTGATTGTGCAAATCAGGCCTGAGGCTAAACCATGCAGCTGTTTCAAGTGCAATATGTTGTTTTATTCGGTCTGCTGGATAAAAGGTTTGATTACTGCTCAGCTCTTCAAAATCATCTGTCTATAATTTTAAAAAGTGTTGGGGTTCATGTTTTTAGTCTTTTGTGCTCATGATTGACTATTTTGTTTTATAATTTAGTAAGTTCTCGTAAATGAATAATTCTTGTGACCACTCGTGACTCTAAATGCTGAGTGGTTGTGCCGTTCAAGGTTCTACTTTACAGTCAGTGAAATGTAAAAGAAATGTAATGAAATCTACACTGAGGGATCACAGCTGTGATGTAAATCCTTAATTATCTTTTGTTTAAGCTTTTTTCTTTTTTTTTTTTTTTGAAAAGCTGACAGTAAAGCTCCAATTGAAGGTTGCTGGAGTGGACGGAAATTCAAAATGAAAGAAAATTTAGTCAAATTACGCCGAGCTGAGTGTGATTGTGTTCTCACTGTGGAAGTATAAGCCGTGGTTAACGTAGTGGCAGCAATCAGTTATGTGACTGTGTGTGGCGTCTTGCTCCAGGCTGGAAGGGGAACCTGTGCGAGCGCTCTCTGGCCTCGTGTGCGTCGCTCTTCATCCTGTTTCCCTGCGTGGCGTTGGCTGTTTACTACCTGCTGCTGCAGACCTTCGTCCTGCGGCTGGAGTTCATCCTCTGCGCCATCCTGCTCTGCTTCTACAGCCTCGAGTTCCTGCTCGGACTCCTCTCCGTATCCTCCTTCTCCAGGTGACCACATCCTCCGAGTTCAGTTCTGATCATCTGATGTGGGGGGGGTTCAAATCTGCAATATTCAAGTTCATACTGTATTTGTCCTTTTACGTTCTTTTCTGTAGATCCAAAGTGTACTGAAGAAGACACATCGAGAGTTCACCTGAAACACAGAACACGGATCAACAGTGAAAATACAGTGTAAATATAAAACATTGTCTGTTTTCCTAAAGGAGACATTTAAATGTAAATCTGTTTGACACTAAATAGTTTCTACTGTTTTATACAAACTGTTTGTACCAGTGTATCGACTCTGAGATCAAGATATTTTTGTAAATAAATTCTGGTTCATTAAAGATTATCATGATGGACAAAGCTGTGTTTTTCTTTAATGGTATATGGTATATATATATATATATATATATGGTATATATTCTCACCTATAATATAACGTCAAATATACAAAGATTCAGAGAGAAATGAGGGCGCACAGGGAATCTGCAGGTCTGACACAGTCAGAAAATCATCAGCTCACAGTCGACAGGTCCAGAGTTTAGTGAAACCTTTCATTATTTTTTCCACTTTCTGCCACTGTGTTAATTTAATGAATTATATCATTAGGTATTATTGTTATGCACTGCTGGGAAGCCATGAAAAAAATGTGACATAATAAATCATTGAAGTCTGTATCCAGGGTTTCTGAAAGTCTTAAAAAGCAACAATTTAGGTTTCCTTAAAAGAAGGCATAATATAAAAGTATTATATTTTTAATTCAAAAGTATTAAAAAGTCTCATATTTCATTTACAAAGGTCGTAAATATTTTTTCTGGCCTTCCATAGACAGTAAAATTAGTTATAAGATGTTTTTTCCTTTTTCCCAAGAATCATCTGACGAGCCCTCTGATTTATCTGGTGACCCTTTGTAGGGACACGACCCCTAGGTTGGGCGACAGTACACAACCTAACAGTATAAAAACCAGCTCCACAGTAAAATGCTGCTTACACGCTGATGCATCAGTATCCTATAACGCCACATAATAAAATTTAATACAGTGAAACAGTGAAATTGTATTTTTTTTTACAGTGTTGTACTGGTGGTTTTACTTCAATAAAAGGTCGGTGGAAGAAGAGGACCCGCTGTTTTACCAGGACTTTGTGTGCCAGGTGATGATGGCCACCACGTAGAGAGAGCGGACGACGGGCCACCAGAAGATCCACATGTTGGTGCTGTGGCTGACGTCGTGGAAATACTTCTCCCTGAACTGTGAAGAAACAAACAACCAGAACACTGACTCAAAACACTTCAGCTCATCATCCTCCTCCTGTCATCGCTCGCTCACATTACGGAACAGTCTAACATCTGGATTTCAAGAACACACTCACATGTAACTTAGTCCTATATATATATATATATATATATATCTGTGTGTATATAAATATAAAATCTGAATCGAGTTGTTTTGATTTGACTTACTGTCCCATAATTACGAGAAAAGATCTCTGTCTGTCTCAATTGTAATTTAACTTAAAGAGCAAGAACTTGGACCATTGACTGCCTGCATTATGTACTTTGTCCTGAGTCCTGTAATCTAATGTCTTCCCAGAAAAAATGACACACACACTCTCACTCACTCACACACTCACTCACAAACACACAAACACACACACACACTGACCCTCTGGTAGTTCTGCTCCTTCTGGATCTGTTGGACCTGCTCGGTCAGCTGTCGGATTCTCAGCTGCAGCTCCGTCAGTTTGTCTTCGGCAGCGATCTTAGTGTAGTTGTTGGTGCCTTCGCCCACTTTTATATCCAGGTGAACCGTCTGCAACGCAACAGGAAGTTCATTAGGAGGGAAATTATTACAGTACAACTTTACAACCTTTTATAGTCGTCCCTGCAGCACGACATGAATAAATACATAAAGGCACAACAGACAAAACGACGAGGTCTTACAGAAACACACGAGTGTCTTCTCTTGACAGTTCCCCAAAATTTGTCTCTTATCAATACTAATATGTCTGAAACATTTCAATCAGGTTTTCAACCAACCTGGTTTTCAATAACATGAACGTCAGATTTTCTCTTAGTGACAGCTTCTAATATTTGAACACTTCTCAAAGTCACTTCTCTAAACTTATTTTCCTAATGTTATCATTTGTTTTACTTTGGTTTCCAATATGTTTTATTTTTTCTATTTGATTATTTCACACTGTTGCATCTGAATGGAATTATTTGTTTCATTGTTGGGTGTTTAACCCGTTCTCTCTACGTTTTTATTTTATTGTGCTGAACTGTTTAATCTGTATTTTCCTTTGTAAAGCACTCTGTACATTTACTATCATCATCATTATTATTATCATATACATTTTTTCTGTCATTGTTATTAGGATGTTCTCACCAGCACGCCTCCAGCAGACAGGGGCAGTGTTGAGGAGATGGGCTGCAGGCAGATCTGGTGTCCTCCTGGTTTATGTGATGTGAATTTGAACCTTCCCTCTGAGCCGAGCGTCCGAGACAGAACCAGCTGGAGCGAACAGACAAACAGTGATTAACGTTGAGAAGACTGCGGAGCTTAAAACAGCTTCATCCTGCTGAAATCACTGGACTGACAGAGGATGAATCGACCGCTCGCCTCCGGGACGAACCTTGTCATCAGGATCTTTGGCTACGACGAGTATCCTGAGGTCCCGAGGGGCCGGCAGGGACTCGGCCCTCTGCTGATCGTACGCCTGAGTCCGATAGTTACCTGCACAGAGAGAAACAAACAAGTTATATGTTAAAGCTGAAACATGTAGTGAGAGAAAACAACTACTAGGTTAATCAATTAATTAATGGTTTAAGTCACTTTTTATGCCAAAAGTTCAACCACACAAGATGATTATTGACTTAAAAATAGAAAAGAAAGACCATTAAAATCAAGGCAGCGACGTTTTTGAGGTAATTTCCCTTATTACTGTTCAGAGGAGCGAGGACACCGTCAGACCAACACACACCTTTATTAGAAATCTGTAATTGATTGGACGCTGCAGCTGATCGGACTGATCTGATAAATAACTGTAGTTTTACACCAGGACAAATAACAGCCTGAATAATAATAATATCACCACCAGGTTTAGATCTGATCTGTGTCCTGATTCACCTTCTAGTCCAAACGCTGCATTAACTTGTGATATTTACACATCTCTCACTAAACATATACACAACTAAATCATTTCTACACACCAGGAGACATTGTCATCGTAACCTGGATTATTACATGATGAATTTACAGGTCGGAGGAAAGGACGTTGCATCTCTTCTTTTGTGAGATTGACTGAGACACGAGGATAGGACGCAAGTGAAGGAAACAAGGTAAGGAGAGGCATCCCTAGTTAGAAGTTCCTTTGTCAATACTTATTAATAGTTTGATGCAAATGTTTTTTAGATTGTAAAAAGTGACCTTATTTCATTGAATTTAAAGTTAGATTATTGTTGTTTGATTCAAAACAAATGATCAGAAAATAACTTTCATCCATGGAAATATTATTTTCTCTCTTGCCTTTACTCTCCTTTACTTCTCTTTTCTCCTCTCTCTGCTATTTAACATAAAATATGAACTACAACTAAATATGTGTAGATGGTTATATATGTACATGACTTACATAAAAAATAAATAACTCACGGACTTGTTGCTATGACATTTAATGCTAATTAAAGTAAAAATAAAAGTTCACTGTCCCACTTCATGAGCCTATGTGCAACATTTTAGAGATTTATGAGGCAGTAAAAATAAAAGTATTGATTAAAAGTTGAATTCACATAATTGTTTAAAAACTTCTTTAAGGCCAGAAGTTTAAAACGCAATTTTAAAAGTGACATTTCGCCAACACCTCCACCACTTTCAAAATAAGAAACTTTTCATCTAAATAGTAAGGATATAAATGTCACGAGAATAATGGGGAAGTGATAAACCGAGCTAAACTGATCTCGGTTAGCTGACGTCGTTTTGTCACAAACTCACCGAGAAGCAGCGTCTCGTCCGGGATTTCCTCTCGGAAACATTTCACCTCCGCGTCTCTGATGTGAAAATACAAAGAGGAGACGAAACAACAGAAACAATTCAGAAGTAAAACTGTCAACAAACACGGCTGCACCCTGACAGACACCATCTTCAGGCTGCTACTGAGTCTGCGCGGAGCCGCGGGGCTTCTGGGTGATGTAGTTGTCGCAGCTGTATCTGCACTTACAGTGGGCTACATTGGCTTTGTAGTTGTTCACCTGCCTGTGGAGTCACTTATGTGTATGTGTGTGAATATTTTATAGTAAGAATCATGTTTTATAGTTAAAAACAAACAAAATCACAGACTTTAAACAAATAAACAAAACCGCTTAAAAAATAAAAATCTTGATTATGACCTTTGGCTGCCAAAATCGAACCCGTTCATCGAAGAGTCCAGGTGAACGTTTGCGGTAAATTTGTAGAAGTTGCTTCAAAGCGTTACAGAGATATTGTGTCTGTGTTAGGGAGGTCACCTTGACCTTTGACCTTTGACTACCAAACTCTAATCAGTTCATCCTTGAGTCCTAGGTTGTGTCTGAAATCACTCACTACTCCCTGTGTAGTCACTATTTTGTAGTGCTGTCCGAATGTATAGTGAGAATTATTGTTCCCTATATAGTGGACTCATAGTATCCCACAATGCATCATGAAAAGTAGTTGGTTTACAACCAGTGGTCACTAACCAAGCAATATTTACCATCATGCATTGTGCTTGTGCTGAAAGACAGAAAAAAAAGGTGCAGAGAAATGATTGAACTAGCTTGTGGCTAGGCTAGCTGTTCCCCTTGCTTCCAGTCTTTATGCTAAGCTAGGCTAACCACTTCCAGACTGTACTGAATAAAACAGACATGAGATTGATTTCTATGTGATTATCTCTTTCAGAAAGAAAGAGAAGTGGTGCATTATTTGGTGAATGATTTCTTTGTTTAGACGCAGCTCTTACATCTTGAAACCTTTTTTATTTTCTGAAGTTTGACACAAATTTAATCAAATTAATAAGCTGATGAATAGCTACATGAATAGCAAGACTCTATAATAATTCCAGTTGTGGGCAAGCAGTTAAACACCTATGACAGATGAATGAATTATGTTCATTATTTACACAGTTTGTTTATTTATTTAGCTTAGCTCTTAGCTTTGTTCGAAACGTGCAACCTTTACTTTGAAGACAAGCTGTTTCTGTTTCCGGCTCCCGACTTCCTTGTTAAATTTTCATGGTACAAGTTGGATAATGGAACAAACTGACACTTTGGTGTGGTGAACTGAACTACACGTCTTCATTTAATGGGACAATAACACACACAAAGCGTTAACAGCGTG